GTGCACCCGCTGAGGACTCGCCGGCCGTGTGACACGCGCCGCGTCAGACCGGGAGCCCCTGAGACGGCGGGGCGGCTCAGACCGTCCCGCAGCGAGTCACTTGCCGGCAGGGCCGTGGGGGAAAGCAGCCGACTGGAGACACCGGAAATGAGTCCTCCTGTAAGTGGAACCACCACCTTTTCCATTGTTTGCATTCATTGGCGCTTTTAATTTGAGGGGGTTTACTTGGAATGATGTACAACCAACAAATTCAAATTCCTGGTCTAGGCGACTATTTTCAAAGGCCCTCTCTTGAATGAAAAGGGGAGTGGACACCACGCTGCAGGTCTCCTTGAGGTCTGGAGAGTAGGGGCGAGGAGCTGGGGTAGAGGCTGTGCTTGGGAGCTGGCTGCTGGGCTCCCGGGCAGGCATCACAGGCCCTCGGGTGCCACCTTAGGATCCTTTCTTGGGNGGGGCGAGGAGCTGGGGTAGAGGCTGTGCTTGGGAGCTGGCTGCTGGGCTCCGGGGCAGGCATCACGGGCCCTCGGGTGCCACCTTAAGGAGGATCCTTTCTTGGAATAATGCCATTTTAAGGGGCCTTCCAAACGGAGGAATGGCTTTCGGAGGGAGAGGGTGCTTTCTGTGGGTTGGGCTTGGGGGGAGGGAGAAGGGAGCAAGCTGTGTGTTACTTCGTTTGTAGTATTGTGGAACAGTGTTGTGTGGAGTGCCCCATTAGAGGTAATTGCAAACTTGTCTAGATGAGAGCATTTTTTTTAGCCCTTTGAGAGACTAGATCTAAATGAACATTCGTGCTCACCTATAACTAACTTCCAGCCTCGATGTCAGAATGGTGTTGGGATTTGCTTTCTCAGCCTGCAGTCAGACAGGACATGGTTTGTTACATTTCCTCCCATAATTGTGAACCTGTGTTGGCATCATCCGTCCCACCTTTGTCAGGCCCTGTCTTTGGGTGTTGCCCGAGTTCTCGCATCCTATTTTTAGGAAAGCCCAAGGGCCCCCTTTCCTCAGGAGCTGCTTGGCTGAAGAGTGAGGGGTGAGGGGTGGAGGGTTGGGGTTCCTGGAGAGTGGAACTATTTAGAGGCTGCACAGTTCCACTTCCCACTTTTCCTTGGTTCCTGGAAGTCACTCATGTTTGTGATAAATGAGGTCAAGTGGATTCTGCAGCTGAAAAAGCTATGGATTCCAGCAGTGGAGAGGCCTGGGAGGAGGGGCTGCTTGAGGGGGAAGGAAAGCAGCCTGGGACAGATGAACTTTTCTAGAATGAGTATACATTTGCCAAAACCGATGTATCCTGCTTTCCAGATGATTCCAGCCCTGTGGGCAGTCGGAGCTCAGGACCAGCCTGACATGTCTTCTCCCGTTTTCCAATTCAAATCTTCTAGCACAGTGTCCACCTGCTATTTATAAAGCCATTTCTGTGTCCTTGATAGCAGCGTGAACTCTTAAAAATAAAATAGGAAATTGGTTTGATTGGAAAAGGGGGTTTTGGAGTGTTGTTCTCCCACCAGAAGCCACTTTGATGACCTGGAGTAGCTCTAATGACACCAACACAGGGCCAGTCCAACGGCCAGTGGCTTTCAGTAGACCTCCTTCCATGAAGTGCTTTCTGGTGATGCAATATTTCTGTCCTGGCCAGAGAGCATCACCCCTTTCACTGATTATCAACTGTGCTGGAGGCTATGAAAGTCAAGGAACACTGCCAGGTCCCTTTCATAATTGTGACCCAAGGGTGTTTGTGGAGTGCTAAGGGAAATGGACTTGACTTCCCCACAGAACAGGATTAGGCTGAAGTCACCACGGCTAGGAGCTCCCAGCTTCGAGTCCTCCCCTCCTGAGGCCACTGTCCTCAGGTGTGAATTCCAGGTGGATTCGTTTTCAACGAGGTTGGGAAGCCATGAGAAAAAAATTTAAATCCTTGGGAAGGTGGAGGTAGGTGGGATGGTTGATTCAAATGTGAGGGGAAGGGGCTGTTGGCCACCAAGCCCATCTTAAAGCAGTGGTTCCCCTTGGCTGCCCATGCCCACCAGTTTGGGAGCTTAGAAAAACCTGCTACCAGGCTACCCCAGACCAGTTAAGCCAGGATTTCTGGAAGAGGGACCCAGGCATCAGCATGTTTCAAAGCCCTCTAAGCATCTTCCACATGCAACTCAAGCTTGGGAAGCTGCTTTCTGGAAGGCAAGATGCTGTCAGAGGCTTGGTCTTGATAGCTGAACTGGCTTATGTCATGGAAACCACAGCCAGGGGCTTGTCATTGGCTCAGCCTGGTCTCACGTTCAGTCCCAGGTCCTCTGAGGGTCAAGGTGGTTTCTCTCAGGAGCTCAAGGAAAAAGTGACCTGAAGGGGGCACCATTTCATGCTCCTTGAAAGCTGATTTGGGGAGCATTGTTAGAGAACTGAATAGTTTGCATATTGAGGTTTTTCTTTGGAAGTCTCCTTGTCTGTGAAGATGGAGAGTTTCACCTCTTTGAAGACCCCCCCCCCC